ATCTCTCTCACAACAAACAACGGAGAGGAGTCCCCTCTCCCTTACCAGTTCTTCTAAATTTTTTACCGAGGGCGGATACTTATACAACTCTAAAACCTGAAAGAAAGAATTTAGTTTAATACTTCCTCTTGTGTATTATTGTTATGAAACCACGTTATATCTACTCACATGGAGTAATTTTACTAACAAATTGTGTATTCTTTTGATTATCAGTTGTTTTCCGATGCGATTAGACACATACATTCCCTATGATATATATAAAAGACCATACATAATTATAAATGAGGTTGAGGTGATCATTTCAAGATTTCCACCCCGAAAAAAATAAAATGGTGGGGATCATTCAAGAATTCCACCACTGAACATAAAATTAGTCAATGGATCCGCAATAAATTATCCAGCCCATCTAAACCAGCTCTGACCTATGCCCAAACATTAGCTATCCAGGATAACCCCCAGTTCGGTATCCAAAAAGCCCAATGTCAGGCCCAGTTAGCTGCAGTTAAAACACCAGAAGAATATAAATTGATCTGTCAAGAGATGTTTGAACAACTCTCTACCAGCTCAAATCAGCCCAGTAAAGCCCAAGGTTCGTCCTCCAGTAAATCCTCCAAAACGACGCATCATAAAGGCAAACGTAAAATTGTATTATCATCATCTTCATCAAATTGGGCATCATACTCATCTTCTTCATCATCCAACTCATCTAGTGATGCAAGTGATGACAGTGATATCATAAAAATCCAAAGTAAAGCAGGTAAAAAATCAAAAGCTATAGCAAGAAAAGAAAAGCTAAAGCAGAAAGAAAAAATAAAGAAAAAAGAAAAAGTAAAAAAGAAAAAGAAGGACACATCATCGTCCTCATCTTGTTCTGAATCATTATAGACAGGCAGAAGGAATCTTATTCCTTCAATCTTTGGGTAGTAAAAACGCCAAAATTCATGTGACAGAACAGTAAAAGTCCACTCGGCAACAGTAAAGATCCACTCAGCAGCAGTAAAGGTCCACTCGCCAACAGTAAAGGTCAACTTGGCACAATAAATAAACAGTAGAGATTCTCCGACAAAGACTACTATTTCGCCGACAGAGTACTACTGTTCCGAGACAAGTAAAATAGCAAACATGTAGAGATTCTCGTACAGAGACCACTACGATTTCTCCTACAACACTAAGTAAATAAGGTGCAAAGATTCCAAATAAATTATTAGATATGTAAGGAGGAGAACCTTTATTCCCTGAAGAAAAGGAGCATAAGCATCAAAGTACGCTTTATTTAAAAATGGCCCCAAATATATCAGAGCATTTTAATAGCGGCGAAGATTTGCTCTACGTCGCCTCCCTCCTTTCTACAGTTCGATTGTAAATGCATTTCAAGTTGAAGTTCCTAAACTGCTGTTTAAAGTAATCTTTAAATTTCAATAACTGTATAAATTTTATTATTGTATTTTGTAATTTATTTTAGTAAATATAAATGTGCTAACTATCCTTAAATGCCCTGTTGAAAGGCATCTTCCCTCCACACTCTGACTTAGTTCTGGGGATCCCAGGCTAAGGTTGCAAGAACCCTAAACCAATTAAAATTGTTCTTGCGATTTGATTGTTGCTTAAAATTACTTGTTTAAAATAAGTATGCTCTGTGGATGCAGCTCAATCTGATCTTCCACATCAGAAATTTGTATTGTTTGTTTAATTTAAACAGTACTTGTTTGTTTATACTAAAACGATAAATAGTAACTATTTCTTAAAAAGAATCTAAACAGTACTTGTTTAAGTATTGGTATATAGGCTGGAAACCCAGAAGTGCGGGCTACTGGTCCAAAGGAATGTTGTATCTGTATTTATTTAAATCCCGATTCATACGCACCTTTAGCTCTCTACCACTCACTACTATGACTTTGTTTAACTTGGGATGTAACTTATAAGATACGCCCTATCTGTTCACAATTATGATTTATCTTTAAATGTTTGTATCTGTATTTATTTAAATCCCATTAATAATCTTAGCTCTCTACATATATATGACTTTGTTTAATTGGGATGTAATTATAGATACTATCTTGACAAATGTAGTATCTGAAAAATATAAAACAGCTGATCTCTTTATAATTGTGCTAAATAAATGTTCTTCTTTCATTTTGCAAATTATGAGACTTACACTTGACTGTCATTGAAGTGCTAACTTAAGATGTTAGTTTATCATTAGGTGAACCCCACAGCAGCAATGCACAAGGTGAAAATGATGTACATAAATATGGACAAGCCTTAAACTAGTAAGATGTGTTTTGGACTTAGAGGTGAGGTTCTAGCGTAGATAAAACTATACGGGTTGAACCTAAAACGGATAATATCTTGCTAAGTGTAAGATGTTACAATCATATAGCTCATAATATGATTTCTTTTTATATGATTTATTTTCTAATGATAAGTTTTTATGCCTTAATTTTTACTTACTGCTATAGATTTTCTTAGAAAAGTTTATGTTGGTTAATTTATATGAACTATGTACTTTTCTTTCGGGTGATCTTATGGATCCATTGAGATTAAGCCATCTCATCAAGTGATCTTGAGCATATACTGAGATTAAATTATTTATTATCACATGTGGACTTGGTTCATTCGAGAATTATATATTTATATTAAAATGAAAACCAAATTCAGTATTCATGGAACAGTGAATTGACAATTATAACCTTCTTTTTTGTTCATTTAGTTGTAAAAGTAGGTCTCACAAACTTGAAGTGAGTTGGCATTTTTTTTTTTTTTTTTTAACTTCCGAAGCAGTATGGCAAATTTTTTTTTTTTTTTTTACACATACTTACACGACCGCAGCACTGCATTCGTATTTGCACACACTGATCACTTGGTCGGGTTTTCCACCGTCCATATAATTTTTTTTTTTTTTTTTTACACATATTACAGACGCAGCCGCATGTATTTGGTAAAATACTGTGGTTCGTATATATATATATAATCTAGAGTATAGAATTTATATATATTTTTTAGTTTTTTTTTTTCGGTAACGGTAAATTAATATTTTTATACAAAAAAATATAATTATTAAAATTAAAATGTACCAAGACTTCTTTTTTTAATTTTCTACCAAAATATGTATTGGTTAATTGTTGTTCCATATAAATACATATAATGAGTACCTTTCTCTAAATTTCTACATTATTAGACTTTTTTTTTTATTTTCTAATTAAAATTTAAGAACTATTAATTTAACGTATAATACATGTACTTATGATTTTAATAAAATCATATGCTAATTGGAATTTAGATGAATTAGATGTATAATTTACGATAAAACTTTACTTTTTTTGGTATAAAATTTATAAATCTAGGTTTTGAAATATTATTAATTTGAAAAAAAAAAGATAAAATTGAGAATTTTAATTATGTGTATTAAAACTCTTACTTTTAGTTTTTTACTAATATATTTTATACATTGAATATTTATCTTAATTTTTATGTATGAAAATATAAAATTATTCATATATACTTATCATTCTTTTTTTATATAATCGAAAAAAAATTTATTTAATTTTAATAAAAATTGTAAAACTTAATTCATCATATTTAAGAATAGAGAGAGTCTTTACAATATAGAAAATGCATTTCAATTTATTTTTTAAAATTTTTATCTTCATTAAACATAATTTTAATTAAAAAATTTCAATGGTAGATCTGTATAAAAGAATGGTTTAGTAATTTTTTAAAGACAAACATGCATCTAGTATTTAAACCTATGTTCTAGCCATAGTAAACCAATATGGTTAATATAATCATTGATTAATACATTATAATTACATTTTCTTTTCATAGTTTTAGGTTTTTTCCTAGTAATAGACAAGGGTCAAACCATTATCCCTTCCGAGGGCATAGAATATTATTGACCAAGGGCAAAAGCCTCTACCGGAAACGCCACTGTGAGACCGCCGATGGCCTTGAACTTAATTTTTCCGGTGGGAGGATGATCAACAAAGATCTCACCGCATGGTGTCCAAAATATAAACTCTTTAGCCTTCACTCCTTTGAGGTTCTTGATTCTTTTGGGCTCAATATAACAAGTGACTTCACTATCATAGCTAACAAGCTTGCCTATCATCTTGAATTTGTGCTCCACTTTCTTTTGTTGGAGAATCCACATATATCCGGAGCTCCGAATGAAGCCCACTTCAATTACATCCTCAAGAGGCAAAAGCCCTAATGGAAGCCCAAACTCTTCATAGAGTGAAATTGCCAATTTGAGACCTTCTTGACCTTTTTTCACAATAGCTCCTTCTTCTCTTTTGGCCATTGAAAAAGATTTGCTTCTTTTTGCTTATGTAACTATATATATATATATATACACACTTTGACAAGCAAAGATAGAAAGATAATATGTTAGAAATTGACATATTATGGTAATTAAGCATAATTAATGGAGAATCCTATGTTTTTCTTCATAGTATAAACCGTAAAGATGTAAATGAATTTGTTTGGATTAAGCTAATATAAAGACTTTGGATTCTGGAAGTCTGGAGGGGCAACCTAGGCAGGCCTTGGTGCTAACGATCATATTATCATGAAATTTATGATTTAATGACTTTTGACAATAAATGTAAGAGTTGTATTCAAATAAAGGAACTCAGGACAGTCTTCTTGAAGCCTAAAATAACCTTGAGAGTCTTAGAAAAAAAATGAAGAGATGCATCTTCCCATGAAATACAATCATTTGTTTTTTGTTATTGTATACTTCAACCACACTCTCAAAGGATATTAATTACTTCCTATTTAATATAACTTACCCTTACTAATATTGAGAACTACTTTGAGATTGGGCTATTGTTCTTTTATTGGATAATTAGTCCATCAACTTTATTTCATTTCGTTTCAATTCAATGTATTTGATCGGAATATGTTAGTGAAAATTGAAAAGATTGAAAAAGATATTGATTTCTTCAACGCAGTGACGGAGGAATTCATCATAATTGAATTTACCGTTTCACACTAAAATCAATTTAATTTATATTTTGAGTAATTTATACTTTTTAACTCAAAAACTCCATTTATTTTCGTAAAATAATTTATAAATAACTTATCATCTCCAAAGAGCAATATTTTCCAGACTTGAAAAATATAAATCTATATTTTTTTTAATTTATTAATCATTATAATCACTATCAGCATCATCACTTACCACCACCGAACACATGCAACTTTCATAATTTATATTTTTTTTTTTTACATTCTTATCATATTTAATAATAAAATAATAAAATTTTTATTATTATTAATATTTTTTGTGATCTTATGAAATAAATGACTTCAATATTTTAACTAATTTTTAATATTACAACCAAAATCATTTAAAAAATATTTTTCAAGAAAAATATTTTAAACAAGTTGCTAGATATTGCAACTAAGTCATTTTTAATGCTTCCATCCCCATCATCCAAATCAGACATACATACATGTCATATATTTATATATATATATATAGAGAGAGAGAGAGAGAGAGAGAGACAGAGGAGACGAATAATGTGCGTTATCTAATCATACAAGTTCAAAGACAATGCTTCCAACATCAAACAATTTTTAATAGGGGCAGTATCTGGAAGCTTTGAAAAATATCAAATTATAATTCTTTCAAACTTCTTTTTTCGATTGAAATTAACAGTTAATAGCATATTTCACATCACCATCATCTAAAGGGAAAGGGAAGGGAAGTTTTCCACCGCATCGTCATCATGCACCACTTGCATATAAACGGGTCCATTCCTTTGCTGCATTGTTCAATTGGATAAAAAAACGAAAATTAATATTAAAACAAAACCCAAAACATCGAGGGCAACAGCTTACAACTCGAACCTAAAAGCATCACCTGTTTCAACAGCTTCAGCCTCGTTTGTTTTCCAATGCTTAGCGATGTTCTCAGAAAGTGGGTCATCGGGGTTCGGAGCACTAAGAAGTGCTTGGATGCTATAAAAAAATGAAGCCCAACATTATTATTATTATTATTATTCAAATGCAGCTTCCAAGGATTTTTATTTTTTGTCCGTCTAAAGAAGATTTCGGAACCTGTCTCAATATCTCAAATAAAAGTTTTGAGACTAATATTACCTCAAAAGTACAGTTCGGATCTGAAGAGCAGGACTCCATTTGTCTTTCAGAATATCAAGGCATATCCTTCCAAGCTACATCAGGACATTTCTGTTGGACAACAAACAACCAGACAAAACATATAAAGAGAGACCAGAAAGAGAAGCAAAGCCTACCTTGTCAATGTTAGGATGGTAGATTTTGGTCAGAAATCGAACCTGTAAGAGAGAAAATCAAAAGAAAAATATAGAAGATTTGCAAATCATGGAAAACAGAAGCACAGAAATGCCTTGAAACACAAGACCTTATTCAGGACATGGGACACAACCATACATGGAACCCACCATTCCGGAACTGAAACATATGATTGCACAATACACCAATTATCAGGATGAGCCAGTATTATGTGAAGAACATGCAAACTTTGATTTGGAATTAATTGAGGTTGAATCGTCAACCAAGTCATTGAAATTGAAATATTGAATGAAAATTAGAGAAATCATATTTAATCAAAGTTATTATGAGAATGATACTTGTGCTTGCAAATCAAATTAGATTGCAATTGTCCTGATTCATGCAAAGTATGGTTACTATTATCAACTCAAACATGCAGTACTCAATTTTTTTCAAGAAAGTATGGTTACTATTATCAACTCAAACATGCAGTACTCAATTTTTTTCAAGGTACATCTCCTCTTGAGAGGAATGTCTGCCAAATATGGCAAGCAAAATGCAATTCATGTTAACCAGGACCATTCTGCTTTTGGTCCAAATTTTCTCAGTTGAGAATATGAATTGGGCTCTGGTTGACAATTTCTTAAATGTATTTACATTTAGGGCAGGTTTTAATTTACATATCAAGGTCCAAATGGATTATCAAGGATTACCCTACCTCCTTTCATACACAACAAAGCTGAACTCATCACCAGAAGATAAAAGTGGATGAAATAAGAGGGAATTAAACAAACTGCAACGGTTGGTTATGCATTGGGCCCCTAAAGGTAATTAAAAGGGCAAACAAAAAGGAAGAAAAACATGCTATGTGTCTATCTCCACCCTGCATCACCCCTCCTCCCCCAGTTATCTTCCAGTCTTCCTCAAGTGTTAAAATGAATAACTCCTATATAGATGTGTTCCCAAACTCCCCAACATTTTTCTCCCCCTACTTTGCTCTCGTGCCAGCTATTTCAGCAATTACACTTTTGTTGGGATAGACCCTAACAGCCATTAAACCTAGGCTGGATATGCAGGCATTTCGTATCAATTATAAATTGACTAATACAAAATTAGCATCTGAGATTTAACACCTGTATCATGAACCTCACAGCTACAATCCTTAACCAGAAACTTTTTGAAATGAAAATGTATTTCCAACTCATATACCAAAATCGAACATTAAATGTCAAAATTTCTCTTATCAAAATACACCATAAAATTCTTAGAAAAGGGGAGCAAAGAGAGAGGGAAACCATGGTAGCTAAACTGAGCACAAATGAATGACAGATAGTACTAGTAAACAATAGATTATTGGCCTACCAATGTTATGACAAAAGAGTACGATGATTTAAATTCAATAACATACCTTTGGAGCAGCCATTGGATATTCTTCTGGTAGAAATAATTCCAGTTTGAAAACCCCACCTAAATCAAAATTCCAACCAGCAACATTGCATATGACATAACACATACTTGGAAGAAAAATGGAAAGAGAAAGCCAGAGTACTTGATTTTATTTTTTTTAACAAAAAAAAGGAGAAAAGAAAAGAAAAAACTACAGGCAAACACACAAAAATTATAGCACTTCCATTCTCACATCATAAAGTTACTCATCAAGTATTTTAGGAGCAAGTGATAAATTATTCATTGCAATAGTTGCCTAAGCCCGAATTAAGCAAGATTACAAGACAAATCGCAATATATAATCTTAAATCTTTAAGAAGATAAATAACATTAGAAATGCACTCAATAATATTCAGAATTATTTTGGAACTGGAAAACACTTGAAAAGTAAAATCATAAATGAATCAAACAAGAAAATTGATGAAAATCTACCATAGCTATGTACGTAAATTAGTGTCTTCTATCAATACCAGATTTATACTGAATTGGTATTATATTGAAGATGCCTATCAGCCAGATTTAAAGCTCCCCTAGCTATTTTTCTCAATTTTGTAGCAATTAAAACAGCAATTGAAGCCAAGAAAAGAAACAGATCCTCCAATTACGAGATATCATTTTCATGCTATCACAAAACCAAATATTTCAATGCAACTTTGAATTTATCAGAACACAAAAATATCAAATTAAGGATTTGATCTTGCATTTTTAGTCATCTAAAGAATCACAAATAATAAGCGTCCAATTAAATTGCATTGCACAGAAAATTAGTACAAAGGACACTAGCATACCTTCATATGGAGACTGTGTTGGGCCAAGAATCATCACATTAAAATACCGCATATTATCCTCAGATGGTGAAGCACTTATTCCGGGAGCTGCATTACATAAATCCCAAAATTAACGACTAAAACCCCAAGATTCAATATAATTCAACAAACATGCACATGAGGAAAATTCTATAATAGTTAAAATCCTATTTGAAATACGCCATAATTAACATATTTTAAACCAAATTATTAGTTGACCAATTAACACAAAACATAACCCCAAAAGAAAAATGGCAAAGAAACAAAGAATTAGCAGCTCACCTGGTTCACTCAGAAGACGTTGAGTTTCCTGTTAGATCACATTCAAAAACCGTTATAAACCTCATCAAACAAATAAAACCATCAAAATCACATATAGAAACATAAATTCTAATTAATTACAACAAAAACCCATAAAATCACACAGGAAAAATAAGCAAACAAGAAACGAATGGGTATAATTCAAAGCCTAGATTTACATGTTAACCCTAACAATTTAAACATGCGGCTCAGTCTCTCGAAGTTCATTCACTCCATATACAAATAAATGGTGATAAACGATAGAAGAAATTTAGAGTTGAGTTTGATTTCGTTTCCGATTCCAATTCCTCATTCTTTTCTTTGCTTTTCTCGAGAACCAAAAGGAAACTGGCCGATCAGAGAAATTGAGAGTGAGATCGCGTAAAGGAAAGAGAGATCGACAGACAAACCTTAATGATTCTTCGAGGGAGATTACTGTTAGCCATTTCTTCAAGGTCGATTGCAGAAAACGCTACTTGAAGGGTTTTGAGAGAGAGAGAGATTGTTTCTCTCACTAAACTCAATAAGGACTATTCGGGGGCGTTTCGTTCTTTGTACTTTTTGGGCGGTTTTTATAGCCCATATGCAATGATTTTGACAATTTCCTTTTTTATACTGCTTTTTTACCTTTTACTCCCTCATTTGTACATAAATTGCATTACACAACATTTTTATTTTTATTTTCAGAAAAATATTTTCTGTATTGTACATGTATAGGGTGCTTAAACAAAAAAAAATTGATTAACTTCCTAACAACCAATGAATGTTTTCTTGACACGAAAGTCAAAGGATAAATTTTTAAAAAATATATATTTTTTTCTGTCACAAACTTATATTTTTATTTGATTTAAGAGCGAGTATACAACAATTTTAACCAAAAAATTAATTAATTAAATTTATCTAGTTTAATTTTTGGTTTAGTTATCCAGTTTATTAGTTCGGTTTAACTTATGATTTCAGGTTATTGAGAGATAAATTGAAAATAAAATTAGTACTTTTAACTAATTTAAATTAATATATTCCAAAAATATCTAATTTAAATTAATAAAATTTGAATTTTAAAATTTTTAGGAAATAAATTATAATATGAATAAGATGTTTAATTTCACCTTGAAATTTTTTCTAGCTCACTTCTCCATATATATATACACATGCATGTAGATTTTGTTATTATTTACAAAATTTTTGAGAAAATTATTATTTACAATTAAAAATAGAAAAATTACGATTTTATTATAATTTATACTTTTGAAAAAAAATAAATATAATTGCCTTTGGTTGCAAGTGAAGTCGAAAAAAGTTAGAAAAAAGATGGCTACACCATGGGATGATGGGAGGTAGGCATGGCCATATTGCGGTTCCGGGAACCGGAACCGTCGGTTCGAACCGGCCCGGAACCGCAACCGGAACAGGTGAGAATCGGAACCGGGACGAACCGGAACCGGAACCGGAAAATTCCGGTTCCAGCAAATGTGGAACCAGAACCGGCGGTTCCATAGAACCGGTCGGAACCGGAATGGAACCGCCGCGGAACCGGAACCGTTAAAAATTCCGGTTCCAAAGCAATGTTGGAACAGAACCGGCGGTTCCATAGAACCGGTCGGAACCGGAATGGAAACCGCCGGTTCTCTCCGGCCGGTTTAGAACCGCCGGTTCGAACGGCGGTTTTCTAGCCGTGTAACTGTCAGATTTTTGTTTTTTTTTTTTTTTTTTTTTTAAATTTGTTTGGTTTAAATTGTCTTAATTACCCCTCCCACTGTCTAGAAACGGCTACATAACGGCCTAGTTTTTGAGGGTAATTTTTGGAAAAAGAATTTTTTTGGATTTATTATATACCCTCATTTTTATTTACAAATTCATTACAAATCTCAACTCTTCTACTTACTCTCTCTACAAATACTAAGGTAAGTAAGAACTACGTGGGCTTTTGTTCCTCTAAACCCCAGAGGATACGTAGGCCACTTAATTTTTTTTTTTTTTTTTAAAAAATTAAGTTCCAAGCCCCATTTTTTTTTTTTTCAAACTTATGTTCAAACTTAAAAAAAAAAAAAATTCAGTTTCATTTTTTGAAAAAAAAATCATTATGTTCAAACTTAAAAAAAAAAAAAAAATCAATTCAAAATTTTTTTTTAAAAAAAGTCATTATGTTTCACTTAAAAAAAAAAAAATCAGTTTCAAATTGTTTTTTTTAAAACCGGGTCTTAAAAATTTGAAAATTTTTTAGGTGTATTTTTAAATTTTTTTATGTTCCACATAATTTTTTTTTAGTTGGTTCTTGATATTTTAAAATTTTTTAACAGTATTTTTATTTTTTTTTATGTTAATATAATTTTTTTTTTTAAACACCGGTATTATTTAAAATTTCAAAATTATGCGATTCGCCGGAAACCATCGGAACCGTCGTCGGTTTTTGTAATCGGATCGGGAACCGGAACCGGACGGTTCCAACCGGACGGTTCCAAACCGGAACCGGAACCGGCCAATTTCGGTTCGGTTCCGGTTCCAGCTTTTCTGGAACCGGAACCGTGGCCATGCCTAATGGGAGGGGAGTGAGAGGAGCCAACTCAAATATAAATAAATATAATTTATACTAGAATTGAATTTTTTTTGGTTGATAACGGAGTACAATAGATCGATAATCAAGTATAATCTGCATACTTTTTCGTAACGATGGTCATTTTTAATAATATTTTTTAGACTCTGTATGTGTCATTAAACTTTTTTGAAAATGATACAAAGAAGTATGTCTCTGTTTATAATAAAAAAACTCTCCTCCGATGAATTGTATATATCTCATTCTTAAATTTGATGAATGCGTTTGTTGATGATAACAAATTCCATTGTTAAAATTCAATGAAATCCAATAGCAAGTTTGTAAATAAAATTAATCAAAAATTTAAAATCTAAAATGAATATTCGCAACGAATTATAATGCATCACTAATTGCAGCAAATATAACATTTTAAACGAAACTATCAAACACTATTTTCCATTTGCAATAAATATTTACTGTAATTAGAATATTTCAAGAATTAATTTTTATAATTCATTGCCTAAAAAATAAAAACAATTGTTCAAAAATATTCCCCGTTAATGTGTAGCTTATTGAGTTGTGGTTGCCCTTTTCCATCGATATGAAATACACCATCATCCTGAATTGTCCATTCACATGGATTGCATTGCATTCTTGATTGATACGCCCAAAATACTCCATGACTACTATCATTTAGATGAACATAGCACCAAGCTAATGGAAACATTATATCATATAAATGCCATGATATGTTTTCACCCGGTCTCATTATATGAAGATTTTGATCATACTTTTCTGTATCACACATAATTTCCACATTATGATTTGCATTATTTACAAGTCTCACTTCTATTTTCTCAAAAATAAAATTCACAATTTGTTCTATCATAGAAGACTCAACATATGATACAGTTGACAATGATAGAAGAAATACTATGCAAAACATACATCTCGTGTCATTCCTTTTGAAGATATTCATGATGATAATGGCGATAGGAATACGAAAATGATAATAATCACAATGCTTAATAGAAATTAATGTAAGGGCGAAGCCAAGAATTTGAACTAAGAGGGTGAATTTTTGAGTACCTAAATCAAGAGGGGCAAATAGTTAAAGGAAAAGGGAAACCCTCTCTTTTCCCTTCTCTTCAACCTTGGTTTTGCCCCTTGATTAAGGTGATGATTCTGAAACCAGAACAATATTGATATTCTCAATTGCAAAATTTCTTAAATAATGAAATGCTCGAAGATAATTAAAGTAAATTTTTATTTTTTAGTTGTTTTCCGTTATGATTGTTAATTGTTTACAAATGAAAGGATTTCATTTAGTTAGTTTTAAAAAATAATAAATTTTGCACCTCACAAATTTCAATTATTTTAACCAATGAAATTTATGGTAGATAATTAGTTAAAAACATAAATTATTAATAATAGGGTTACATATATCAATTCCTTTTGCTAAATTAATTCTCCGTCCTGAAAATTTTTTTTTAAGTGTATAACTGTCACGACCCGTTTCCATGGGCCGGACCGGCACTAGGGCCCGGGTAAGCTTAAGGCCCCCGAGGCCCGTAGTAAGCCTGAATCACTAATAGAGGCCCGTAGTAAGCCTGATCACTAATACTATTATCAATATAATATTTAAAACATTCAGCCTATATTTAGCCTATAATTATAGAAAAATAAACCTTAAGATTCTATTAAATTTCGGCCCAAATTTATCAATTACAACATTTCCACAGTTCGGGCCCAATTAACAATACATTATATTTTTAATATAGGCTCACATAATTACATCGTCTATGTTAATACACGACTAATTGCACACAAATTCTACAACTGCGGAATTCACTAACAGATGTATACAGATAAGTCTTTAGACATTTATCTACTTAATATATCAACATTAAAATTAAAGAATCTCTTTTTAACAGTGAAGGAGTAGAGTTATAGCTGGGATTTAGAAAATGCTACTTCCTGGAAGATTTAAACAAGAGATGTGAGTTTATTAATGAATAATAATTATTGCACAATACAATTTCACACAAATGTATGAATATATTCAATTAGTCATCGAACTAGTTTATATGCTCCACACAAGCCAGTCACCACAAAATGGCTATCACCAGCCACTCAACCAATTATTAAATCTTCATATAATCACATCACTAGGAAATTAGTCGAGATTGGTCTGTGGCGTCACCGAAACCCCTGATGAGCCGTCCTCCCACATGGCCCATCCTCTCACGTGTGCACCAGGGAGCCGATCCCCCATTCTGGTTGACCGATCTAATCCTCACTTGACCAGCCCTCTCATTATTTTTCCATTCTCTCTTTTCTTTTCCATACCAACAGAAGGCAACCTGGTCATCTCCATCAAATCTAGATCATCAGGCGCTCACAACAAGAGACCACCCTACGGGCTGCGATCAAATCTAGATTATCAGGTGCGCCCAATAAAGAAACCAACCTGTGGTTTTCCATATCATACAGATCATAACGGTAGGTGCACACACGGGGGCGCCGATCTCCCATTTACCGGGCTAACGGATAATGGATCATCTATAACTAGTTAACGGTATTATACCGGTAACGGTAATACAGGTTCCATAATTAAACCGGTAACGGTTCTCACAAACCCAATGGTGGGACCCACTTCATCCCAATTCCACACAAGCCAAAAGCACAACAATCATCACAACTCACAATTAATCAAACATTTCGCGATTAAATGGCAGGAACATATCGATCAATTACATATTGGACTGCCAACTGCTACAATTAAAACAATCCATTCTTCAAATGCAATTAAATAATTAAAATAAATAAATAATTAACCAATAACAGCAATGATAAATAATAAATAATATTTAATAATATAAACTCAATGATAATGACAAGGTAGTTTAAAAAGGGGGCCACTTTATTTATTATGATCAACATTGTAGAAATTTATCTTAATAAGCTTATCTTGCTTATTGTTATTAATTTAAAATTTGTCTACACTTCTGATTCAGACATTTCGGCGAGCACCTCCCCAT